TGGATAACCGTACTCAGAGAGTCGTTATTAATGGTTCACAATCCATTAATAACAATCCATTCACAATCTGGAAAGGTATAACATGTGGGGTTCCACAGGAGTCTGTTTTGGGACCAGCTCTCTTCAATATCTTCATCAATGATTTAGATATTGGCATAGAAAGTACACTTATTAAGTTTGCAGATGATACCAAGCTGGGAGGAGTTGTGACTGCTATGGAGGATAGGGTCATAATTCAAAATTATCTGGACAAATTGGAGAAATGGTCTGAGGTAAACAGGATGAAGTTTAATAAAGACAAATGTAAAGTGCTCCACTTAGGAAGGAACAATCAATTTCACACATAAAGAATGGGAAGCGACTGTCTAGGAAGGAGTATGGCAGAAAGGGATCTAGGGATTATAGTGGACCACAAGCTGAATATGAGTCAGCAGCGTGATACTGTTGCAAAAAAAGCAAACATGATTCTGGGATGCATTAACAGGTGTGTTGTGAGCAAGACACTAGAAATCATTCTTCCGCTCTACTCTGCACTAGTTAGGCCTCAGTTGGAGTATTGTGTCCAGTTCTGGGCACCGCATTTCAAGAAAGATGTGGAAAAATTGGAGAGGGTCCAGAGAAGAGCAACGAGAATGACTAAAGGTCTAGAGAACATGAACTATGAGGGAAGGCTGAAGGAATTGGGTTTGTTTAGTTTAGGACTGAGAAGATTCAGGGGGGACATGATAGCCGTTTTCAGATATCTAAAAGGGTGTCATAAGGAGGAGGGAGAAAACTTGTTCATCTTGGCCTCTGAGGATAGAACAAGAAGCAATGGGCTTAAACTGCAGCAAGGGAGGTTTAGGTTGGACATTAGGAAAAAGTTCCTAACTGTCAGGGTAGTCAAACACTGGAATAAATTGCCCAGGGAGGTTGTGGAATCTCCATCTTTGGAGATATTTAAGAGCAGGTTAGATAAATGTCTATCAGGGATGTCTAGACAGTGTTTGGTCCTGCCATGAGGGCAGGGGACTGGACTCGATGACCTCCTGATGTCCCTTCCAGTCCTGGTATTCTGTGATTCTGGAGCACTTTTGTCAGCATTTGGCCATTCTGAGTTAGTTTATTGCAGTCTGTTTCATCAGTGTTTGAATTGTTATAGAACATCAAATTAACTACTTGTGAGGTACTGTTTTTTGAGGATTCAGCACACTGAATCTTTAAAACAAGTATTATAAGTTGAACCTCTCTAGTCTAGAATCCTCTGGACCTGACCAGATCCAAACCAGAGAATCTTTCAGACCACTGGAGGTCAATATTGTCTAGCAGTATTACCAATACTTCCACTGCTTACTGGGTTGTTAGAGGACATATAGGGGTAAATTAGAGCTTAATAACAGCACAGAACATTGAGAGCTAGGACTGATGGCTGTAAAGAAACTTTATGGGACCACAGGAAACTTGACCACACCCATGAAAAACTAACAAAACTCATTCCAGATGACGGATGTTTCCAAACCAGAGAGTACTGGATAAGAGAGCTTCAATCTGTATAACTGTTATATGAACATAATGGGTATGAATAAGCTTTTATTCATACCAGTGTAAATTGAGAGTAACATCTCTGAAATTAATGAAGTTAGACTTGTATAAAAGTATATATACTAATGTGAATAACTGAAGAATCCAGCCCAACAGTTCTAGGTAGGGAGTATTCAGCTTAAAAATATATATACATTAGAAAGATTTTTTTCCCTTTTAACATCTGTCAAAAATACTTTAAATAGAATAAATTAGAGTTCTGTAGTCTGTTTTTGAAATGTCTATATTTTTTAAAAAAGGAACATTTAAACAAGAAACAAAGATTAGTTTCACTTGTAACAAATTTGCTGAGTAATAAGTTTCAAAACATTTTTTTCATGGTTTAGGAACAATTAGTGCACTTTATACCAATTGATTAAATATACAAATATTCAAATAAAAATTGCTCTTTTGGCCAGTGCATCAAAAACTTTAATTCCTTTTTATCCTGAAATAAATATAATGTAACTTCAAAATGTGTTCTCAAGCAAAGATTATACATCTAATAGCATTAAAATCTTTCATCCATCTTTTAAAATGAAAATATAATAAAGCAAATGACATTTTACATCAAAATATCCTTCAAAATACTTATCATACCTTTAAAATATATTAATATCTTATAATTTGGTCATTGTCACCATAAATCATTGTATATAAATCACTAATGCACAGTTCATTTGTAATACTGAAATGTAGTAAATGTCATGTTTGTAAATATTGGACCTGACTACACACAGAAGTTTTGCTATCATAGCTATGTTGGTTAGGTGTGGAAAAAGTCATACCCCTAACTGTCATAACTATGCCAGGAAAAGCCCACCTGTAGATGCAGTTATACCAGCAAAAAGTCTTTCTCCCACGATAGCTTATTTCATTCTGGGAGCCAGTATAACCTGTGTCTGTACTAGGAGGGTTTGTCAGTGTACTTATACTGGCAAACCCTGTCTAAGTACAGCCAAGGCCTTAATATTGTCACATTTACATTCACAGTAATTATTATATGACTTGGGATGTCTCTTTGGTTTGTAATTCATGAAATGTTTAAACATCTGTTTATATTTTATTTCTTAGAGTATCAATAACAAGAAAATCTCTGCTTCCCTTCTGTCCATTGCATAAAAAAGTCATTCAATGGATGTAATTTTTCTTTGATATTAATGGAGACAAGCTCATCAAATGTGGGAGTACCCTACTCTGATTGTATAAATATGTGTGTTTTTTTTACATAATCTTTTTTTCCTAATTATACATTAAAAATTCCAACAAGTTAAAAAAAATTAAGTTTGAATCCCTGCAACCTTGTGAAGTTCACCTTGATTAGAAGATGCAGGGGAAGTGACATTTGGGTCTGAAACCACAGGGTGTTAGGCTCTAAGGCAGGGGTGGTAATAATTTTTCTAGGGGGGCACTTTGAAGGGGTGGGACCTCAGGCAGAAGGGGTGGGGCCTTAGGAAGAAGGGGTAGGGTCTTTAAATAGCAGGAGTTGAAAGGGCTCACATCTCTCCTGTGGATCCCAGGCATCATGTTAGCGGAGGGTGGGAGATGTGAGCCCTTTCAACTCCTGCTATTTAAAGAGCTCACTATTCCCTCGTTCACTTCTAGAGTGTTGCCTTGAAGCTGGGGATGTGAGAGCCTTTTATATGCTTCTATTTAAAGGGCTCATGCCTTCTCCGCTACTGTTATAAGCATATAAGTAGATACAAGTTACATCCTAAATATATATATAATCTAAGCTACATATGTAATCATAAATGCTTGTGAGATATTTTGAGGCAAAATATATGTATTTTCATTCAGCTGCCTTTTGTAGAAGTCCTTAAAAATTGTAGGCTTAAGAAACATGGTATGCTGCAGATGTTAAAAGTATAAATGATCTATCAAAAATGTTCTTTATAATATTTACATAGATATATAAAGATAATTGATGTAAAACATTAAAATCAATGCCTTCAAATTCAGGATTGATCTCTGATGCATTAAAACTATCTTTATAAGGCAAAACAGAGAATAGTGCTGGGGCACTTTAGAGACTAACAAAAATATATAGTATCTTGAGCTTTCATGTGTAGGCCCAGCCTTAGGTCAAGGCAAGCAAGGCGGCTGTCTTGGGCCCCATACTGCCCAAGTACAAGGGACTGCGGCTGGAGCTGATGCTGGACAAGCTCGTCACCTGCATCGCCGTAGAGCTACTGCTGTTGCTCATCTCGCTGGCCTTCATGCAGAAGATCTCCATAAGTACCTGCCCAGCCAGCCCGCAGCCTGGCACCCTGCCATTGCCCCAGTTGGGGTCCCCCGCTATCCCCTGTGGGCGTCTGGGCTCCAGCCTGGCTGCATTGGTAAGGCTATGGGAGCTGGCTCGGCCCGCATGTATGTTGACAGCTCTGGTCCTAATGAGCTAGGCTTCAGCTCCAAGTTGCTTGCTTTTCTCCCTGTCTGCCACACATTGTGTTTTATCTGTTTGGACAGGAGAGTCACACAGGTCAGCAGAGAATCTGACCTGGATAGTATGTTGTTGAATATATCCAGTGAACAACTTGTGCTTCCTGGGCTGGACTCTGAAACCCCACAACTGGGTTTGACTTAAATTAGAGCATCCACCAGCAGAGCCCTGCTGTCAGCATGCTGAATTGGGCCCTGCAAACTCTTTGGCTGGGCCTGTTCATGGGTAAATCCCAGTTCAACCAATCAAGAGGGTTTTACCCACAAAAGCCTATACTAGGAAATTATTCTGAAATAACAAGCAGAGCGTCCACACTATCGAGCCCATTATTTTGAAATAAAGGGCTGGTTATTTTGAAATAATTACTCCTGCTTTCCCCAAGGAATAACACTTATTTCAAAATTATTATTTTGAAATAGTGGTAGTGTGGACGGTCCACTGCTGCTATTTCAAAATAACTACTCCCCAGAATCCTTCAAAGTAATTGCTCCCCAGTGCTTCCTGGGACTCTAAATTAACATTAAGGCTGTGTCTAGACTACGCCACTCTGTCAACAGAGAGATGTAGATTAGGCAGAGGGATGCAAATCAAGCACTTTGAAAGTGAAAATGAAGCCGGGATTTAAATATCCCGTGCTTCATTTGCATAAAGATGGCTGCCGCTTTTTTTAAAACTGAGCTTTTTCAAAAAAAAACCAAAAACCTGGCAGTCTAGAGGGGATCATTCAAAAATACAACCCTCTTTCGAGAGATCCTCCTAAACTGCTGTTTTTTTTTAAAAAGCCCCGTTTCCAAAAAAAGCAGCAGACATCTTTATGTAAATGAAGAACGGGATATTTAAATCCCGGCTTCATTTTCACTTTCAAAGTGCTTGATTTGCATCCCTCTGCTGACAGAGGGATGCAGTCTAGACGTAGCCTAAGGGAGCCTGCCTCAGATTAATTTTGAGGCTTCCCTGTAGTGTGGACATGCTATTTCAAAATAGTTATTTTGGGAGTTATTATTTTCAAATAAGTTATTTTGAAATAATTTCCTAGTGTAGACATTCCCTAAGGTGTCACAGGACTACTAATTGTTTTTAAAGTTACAGACCAACACAGCTACCCCCTGAGACTTTATAAGGCAAGATAGGGGATCTATAAACATTTTATGTTGAGGCACTTTCATCTTGGAAGAATTATATTAAATTGAATGTTAAAATACTCCTAATATTTGCATTTTGAATATGATACTGAGTAAGTATGATAGTTTTAGTATGACCTAATACAAACTCATTACAGCAGAGGATACTGATTTATGGCATAAAGACTTTGGGTCTGATCATCATTTTTACCCTTTTAAAAGCTTTCTTATAACCATTTGGAATATCATGGGAAAAATCATGCCAGGTGCCCCAGAAAATCCCATTGCGAATACCTTTGTATTTTTCTTGATAGTATTTGCCATTTAGATTGGCAGACAAACATTTATCAAACCACCAGCCAGAGCTGTAGTAAGCCCCACAATTTCCTGATGGATACATATCATTGTCTTTGTCTGGCGTAGTAAAGAATTTTTGATCATGGTTGTAATGTTTATTGAAGTGCATGGCATCTCCAGCGGTACCACTATAACCACTGACACTTAGACGGTACTTGAGATATTCATTGGCTACATAGAACTGTTCATATTTAGCATACTCTCTTTTACCATTGAAATCTTCAATCTCAATTCTCAGTTGCATCTCCTTGCTTTTGGTTAGAAGATGAATTTTATCATTCCCCAGCCAAAACTCCCTGCTCAGATTTCCAAAGCCATTTTTGTAGTCATTCCATGTTCTGTTGAAGTTAGTGCTACCATCTTGACGCATCTGTAGCACTGTCCAGCCACCTCCCATTGATTCCATGTCACAATAAACTTCAAAGCTATTCATTTTTGGATCGGGAATAACTCTGTAGATTCCATTACTGCTTCTACCTGCTGCATAATGGTCTGCACAGTCTTTATATATTAGTTGTACAACTGGGGGGAAAAACAAATACTATTAGTATGGACAGTCATTTAATTTTATTTATTTATTTATTTATTTATTTTAGATCTAGTAAACAACACCAAGCATTCCTGACTTCAGTAATAAAAATACATTTAAAATCCACAATGTATATTCTTCAGCACTTTTAGTAATATCTTACCTGGAAGTTCTCTTCCTTATTTTACTTAGATCAAAAGCTATGAAAAGCTGTACAAATGATTGTTAGTCTAAAAATACTACATAGTTCCATAAAATTGTCTTGCTGCTTAATTCTTGCATGCATATCCTTAAAGGATAATAAGTTAAATTCCACAAAGCTGGGTCAATGAGGTGCAAAACACATAACCTGAGGGTTGCACCAATTGGGGTGACTTTTTTTCCAGAGGCCAAGTAGTGTTTCAGTAGTCAGAGTTCTGGTAAGTATGAGCAACTTGTATTTATTTCTGTCAGAGCTACTCCATAGCAGTTCACCATCAGGAACTGCTTGCTGCATTTGATGGCTGTCCAACTCCCCTGATAGCACTTCATTTTTGGCCAAAATTACCTACTTGTGACCAAGCTGGCCTCATCCTCTCTTTCCTTTTCACGCAGTGAAGTTGCTTGCTATTTCCAGATAAAATCTATTCCCCTGTGAACACATTCCACTGTTGGATCCTTCTTCTGTTTGCTAATGTTGGCATATTGCGGTGGCAAAATTGGCATAATATCTCAGTTCTGTTATTTCAAATGCTTTTAAACACAAATATTCAAATGTACCTTAATTTTGCCTATGTATTGTAGAATTTGCTCCTCTTGTGGAATGATTTAATTATCCTTTGTCATATTAACAATTATAATTTAGTATCTTTGATGCTATAATATGTCATATGAGTTTATTTCATATAAGGATGGCTTAAAGATGGTTCTTATTATTGGCTATTCGTCTAGACCGGGGTGGGCAAAGAGCCCTCCGTGGGCTGCATCCAGCCTGCCAACCCAGTGGATTTGGCCCGCGGATGCCCTGCTGCTCCTCACCCCCAAGCTAATGAGGGCTTAGGGGCGGGAGAGTGCGTGAAGTCTCATCAGCCTTGGAAGAACAATCAGCGGCTAGAGAGACAGCCGGCAGTTTTAAAACAGCCAACTTTTAGACCGGGGTGGGCAAAGAGCCCTCCGTGGGCTGCATCCAGCCTGCCAACCCAGTGGATTTGGCCCGCGGATGCCCTGCTGCTCCTCACCCCCAAGCTAATGAGGGCTTAGGGGCGGGAGAGTGCGTGAAGTCTCATCAGCCTTGGAAGAACAATCAGCGGCTAGAGAGACAGCCGGCAGTTTTAAAACAGCCAACTTTT